GCTGAGGACACGGCTCTCCTCCTGCAGACAGGGGCCTTTCCCAGCTGAGGACACGGCTCTCCTCCTGCAGACAGGGGCCTTTCCCAGCTGAGGACCTGGCTCTTACCCTGCAAACAGGGACGTTTCAGGGTCTCCTTTGTGCCACGTTTTTCACCTTTGTGATTTTGGTGGTGTCGCTGTGTAAATGCCTCCTAGCGCAGTGCTGAAGTGCTGCCTTGTGTCCCCAAGCATACGAATGCTGTGATGTGCTTAGGGAGAAAATGTGCATGTGAGATTAGCTTCTTCCAGGCAGTTATGGTGCTGTCAGCCGTTAGTTCAGTGTTGATGACCCAACAGTGCATATTCCGTGAGGGGTCTTTCCCCAAACCATGCCCTGATTGTGGGGAGCGGTGGCTCAGTGTTCGCTGATTCCACATTCCCGGCAATTTTATGGAACGCGACCAGGCGAATGGGCTGTGTACCCGGTGTGGGTCGGTTGTGTACCTGAGGTGCCTTGGGATGAGGTGCTAGGGGTGTGGGGAGCTCGCTGACAGTGAGGGGCTGCTGGGTGCTGGGTTCGTGCTGAAGTGAGGCCCCCGCCTGGCCGCCGTGCTTCCTGGACGGCACTGCTGCCCTGAGTCCCTCGTCGGCCTTTGCTGCTTTCTGGCTCCTTCTGCTGCTGACCGCACGTCGTTCTCCCAGCAGGAGATGGGACCCCCAGGGAAAGCAGCCCCTTCATTAACAGTGTGGAAGTGGAGCGGGACACCTTCCTTGCAGGAAGGAACATGGCGCAGGAGGGCTTCTGCGAAGGAAAGAACATGGCGCTTTTTGAGGTAACGAAGTCCCTCCCAGAAGAAGGGGTGCAGGCGGTGGTTTGGGTTTAGGAAAGTGAGGGAGCCAGGACTGTGACATCTCCACCTGGTGAACTGAGGGCAGCGGGTGAGGGCTGTGGCCCCGGGCAGACCGCACTGGGTGGCCGGGGGGTTCCCGTCCTGCATGGGTACGCTCTGTGTGGACACCACTCAGCACCTCCTTCTGGGGGCCCTCTGGGCTGAGAATGCGCCAGCCCTGAGGGGCCCCTGGCAGCTCTGACCTCTGACCTCCCAACGCTGAGCCTGCCGGGCGGGTGCCCAGGGCCTGTGTGTTCGGGACTGCAGCCTGAGCTCCGGTGGGCACAAGCGGGAAGCGGTGCCAGGTGGGGGTCCCAGTGCACCCGGGGAGTTGACGTTGGGGATCAAGGTGACTGTCCCTCGGCTGTCAGTGGCCAGTGTCCCTGTCTCCACATAGGAGGAAATGGACAGCAATCCCATGGTGTCGTCGCTGCTCAACAAGCTGGCCAACTACACCAACCTGAGCCAGGGCGTGGTGGAGCACGAGGAAGACGAGGACCGCCGGCGCAGGGAGAGCAAGGTGAAGCCCCACCTGGACGCCCGCCCGCCCGCACACGGCCCTTCCACAGGGTGGGGCCACCACCTGGCGCCTCCTGGCCACCACGGCCACCGTGGACCGGGAGGTCAGAGCGCACGTGTGCAGACCCCAGTCTGTGGCCGCCGTGGACCGGGAGGTCAGAGCGCACGTGTACAGACCCCAGTCTGTGGCCGCCGTGGACCGGGAAGTCAGAGCGCACGTGTGCAGACCCCAGTCTGTGGCCGCCGTGGACCGGGAGGTCAGAGCGCACGTGTGCAGAGCCCTGTCTCAGGCCACTGTCTCAGGGGTCAGAGTTGAGTTGACCCCTTGGCCCTCCCACATAGCTGGGGGGTGCCTCATTTCCTGACCCCCTGCCCTCCTCCTCCTGGCGCCTCATGGGGACGTGTGCCACAGGACTGTGGGTCCCTGGTGTTGAGAGGGAGGCCTGCTGCCCTCTTCCCTGAGACTTTGGCTCCTGGTATGATTGGACGGACAGGCGGGTCAGAGCCCAGTGCGCGGGGCCCTCTGAAAGGGGAATGGCCGAGGCCCATCTTTCCTGACCTTGGGCGGCATCCCGCCAGCCCCTCTGTCGTGTCTGTGGTGTTGCAGGCTATGTGGGTACCGATGTTAAGGGCCGTGTTGTAGCCCTCTTGCCCCTAGCATGCCCTCTGTGGGTGTGAAAGGCTCTAGAACCCTGAGCTGTAGTGGCTCTGAGGGACAGGCTCTCCTCTGCCCTTCACCTTTTTCTCCCCTTTGCACCTGAGTCACCCCCCTCTGGTTGGGGAGGACCTTGTGCAGGGTGCCCTCCCGCCCCTGTCCTTGCCCCTGTACTCGCAGGGCGCCCTGCCCTGGGGCTCCTCTGTACCCCCCCATGCGTCTGGAACCGTCTTGCTGACCTGTGTAGGTCCTGGTGCTCTGTCCCCACACCCTCCTGTCCCCACTGCCCCTTTGCAGCTTCCGATGGGGGGGTCTGGCCCCCTGGGGTCTTGGAGTCCCCATGAGCCCAGCCCTTGCTCTGTTGCAGGCCCCGCACATGGGCACCTTCATCGGCGTCTACCTGCCCTGCCTGCAGAACATCCTGGGTGTCATCCTCTTCCTGCGCCTGACCTGGATCGTTGGGGTGGCTGGCGTGCTCGAGTCCCTGCTCA